CATTGTGATTACACACTCAAATAGATTAGCATACTCCCATTGAATGCCTTGCGCGTCCAAACATCCATTTGCACCCTGGGCAAGGTGGGTCAATCGCTACTGTAGCAGGTGCTTCACCAACACATACTGTAACTAGTCTAAGCAGATCATGTCTGGCCATGTCTCCCCTACTCTTTTCCTCTCAACTCCTACAATTCTTCTGAAAAGCCTACCAGAATTTGCAAGTAGCCTATATCATACACTAGTATTAGCCTGCGAAATGTAGTGTTGCACTCAGAGTCAGCTCTTGGTGCATCATGGTGCATCTATGTTTGCGTTGGTGTTCCTGCTTGTGTTCACGTTCATGCTCACGTGAGTTTGTCTCTGTTTGTTAGTGTTTGTGTCACTTGTGTTGGTGCATGTAAAATATACACTTGCGTGTGTGGTGACGGGGTGGGGGGTGGGGCAGGCTACTGTAATGGTCGATGATTTGAATCTCAGATGATCACAAAGCCCTGTAAACGTACATGCGTGTTGCATTTTATTCATTCTTATTGCATGTCTTTGCGTTGAAGAAAACATGATCACTAATTATGTGCCCAGCGCAGACAAGAATGCCTTAGATTGTATGAAATGAGGTGCCGTGAGCCACAAGACAACTGCCTGGAGATACAATGGAGATCAGAAGACTCACTCAGACTTTGTCAACTCATTGTCTACAACAAGTTCGCCAACTCAATCTAGGGCTTGAACACATCCCATGTGCTTTCATTTGAACCATGCGAGCACCAGCGGGCAATGTTACAGAGCTTGAAGCGAGGTCGCTTGTTTGTTTTTTACTCTTTGTTACACACGGTACATTTGCGAGAATGACAGTAAACTCGCTGGTCACTCCTGACTTCACGACAATTCCATGCAGGTTCTTGTGATGAGAGGCTGAGAACCTCATAGAGCCATCTGGGCAAAGACCGCAAAAGATCGGTCAATCGTCCGTCAAACGTGGCAGAGAAGTCGAGCTCGCCAGCCGTAGTCGAGAGTGAACTTATCATAGCTTTTCGGCATTCAATGATATTCAAAGATATTCAAAGTATGTTGAAGGAAGTTGAATTCTGTTGGGGATTTGTTGAGGCGTTTTCTCGCTGCTTTGCCGGTGTCCAGCCATTCAGTGCCTTCCCGTCGTAGTGGTTGGTGCTTTAAACCAAGTTCACTCACCCCTGCGGGCGATGTTGAAAATCGTGCTCTTGCAATTACATGCAATTACCTTGTGTGCAAGTCTTTTTCATGTGCTGCACTGGCACAAGGACTTTCCAAGGTAAACCTCTGATGCGGTGTGAAAATGTGTGAAATGCTTGCTCAAGGACTCGACCAGTCAGCGTGCGGTCCAGCCTTGCAAATGACAAGCCATTGCTATGGTTTTGTGTGATTTTGAGTGACATAGTGACATATTTTAGGGTCAGAATTTTCAGGGTTTTAGAGATTGTGATAGAGGAAATTTTAATATATGTCCTCAAACCATACTGGTACCAAGCACAACAGAGCAATTGGCACAGGTAGGTTGTGATGACCACTTTTATGGATACTGAGAGTACTACATAGTATTGCAACGTCCATGGTATTCAACCATTTGACACACCTTGCTGTTTTGAATGGCTATCTCCAGCGTTGGTGGCAATGTTTGCCGGTGCATCTGTGGCGATTTCCCGCAGGACCTTCGGATCTGGGAAGGGATGGCTGCTGGGTTCATCAAAACTTTTTGACTCTGTGACCGTCCGTGTACAAGTTAAGAAAGATTTTACAAGGAAATTCATGAGTGCAACATGGTGCAACCAAAGCAAATAGCAGCGGCTTAGGATGTTAAGGATTGAAGGCTTTCCCGCATGTTGGCAGTACGGCTGCTTACTTTGGCACAAAGCGAGCTAGATCGAGCTAGTTTACCACATTGTCAGTGCTTTCCCACACTGCTGCACATGTTGCACAGTTTGTGGGTGCCGGAGTCTTGCAGTTCCAGCACATCTAGACAATGTGTTTCTTCAGTCTGGACGCACATGGTCTAAATTCTCAGATCACAATTATGCCTTTGTCGAAAAAGTGCTGTTGGCAAACTAAGCCACAGATTTTCAAACACACTCTGCCGCCAAAGGACAATACCACAATCCTGGTGTCAAGCAGCTCTGGCTGTCAGGACACGCCTTGAGAAATGGTCGGGTCAAAACGATCAGGGTTTCCTAACTCTAAAAAAAACAATCTATCACGAGCAGTCTTCTTGCTTTGGACGATGCTGCTGAGACAAGTGCTTGTGCTTGAAATCGTTTGCTTCGGGCAATTGACATAGTAAGACCACTGCATCAACGTTGTTGGGAGTTGGACCGGAACTCTATGATATGCTGTTGGTAGCCATGAGGCACAATCTTCTTAATGAACTACCCAGGGCTGAAGCGGCTCAAAAATATTCAAAAATGCTTTTCACTCGTACTTTGCCCCGCGTATCACTTTCGAGAATTGCAACCGCAATATCCACAGAATATGCATTGCTAGACCCTGGCAATACGATGTAATACGTGGGCATGAGAGCACTGGATGTATTGATTCCAGGTACAAATGCATGCGTTCGGAAGGGGAAAGCTCTCCTGTTGTCAGAGAGCGCGGAGGGGAGACGGCAAACATAATTATCAGACAGGAAGATATGTGGGAGAGGGAGAGAAGATGAGAGAAGAAAGACGAGAAAGAAAGGCAGAACAGAAATGCTGAATACAAAAGAAAACACAAATACATCCTATCCTAGCTATTATATGCTATTATATAATATATTAGTATATATTATATTATATTATCATATATTATAATCCTGTATACTATTTCTGAGTTTTGAGTCTTCTCTGATCAACTCATTCTCCTTTGGCTGATGAGATTTTTTAATCTTGCGTGTGAGTCTAGGCCTTTGTTACATGTGCTACTCACTAGTAGTTTCATGATGTCTGGTGTTTGAGTCGAACAGTCCTTGACATTTGATGTGTCCCAATTTGTAGAAGTGGCATGCCAATCAATGTATTCATGTCGGAACCGCATGGAACCGCAAGATAATACGGAGCTCATCTGACTAGGCACTGACCCACCCAGCTTGATTCCATTCCATGGACATGTTTGGTTCCTAGGCCCAACATCCGGAAAATTCTGGCCTTTAAATTCACAGAGATTGCATGTCATCAGAATGGCCAGGGCTGCAACACTGCCCTTTGCCTTCAGCAATTCAGTGGCTGTGTTGACGCGCAAAAGCATGGAGGCTAAGTGGTCAAGAGACTGACTGAGAACGGGACTTGAGCAAGACTAACAGAGGAATGAGATTGCTTTGAGAAGCAAGTTATGTGAATGTCTCTTCGTTGGTTGGTTGGCTGAACTTGGCTGGTTTGCAGTCGGTTGGCTCATTACTTTGCTGGTTTGTGCACTGGTTTGATTGCTTGTTGGTTTGACTGTTTCTGTGTCGGTGACCTGTGTTTTTTGTGCGCGCACAGCTGTTTTGTGCGTTTGTGTCTGTGTGCGTGTGCTAGGACAATACATAAACGATATAAAGCCATGAAAAGACCCTGAAAGTGACGTTTGACATCATTTGACCAAGAAATTTCATTGAAGTCCCCGCCTTTGGCCCACCTTTGTTTTTGCACCGTTTGCATGGCCTCGTGCAGGCGCAGTTGCTGTCCATTGCATACACAGAACGGCACTTGTGCCAAGGCTGGTTCATACCCTGTTTGCAGTGCTCATGGAAGGAATCACTGTCAGAAATAGGCTCTTCAGTATCCTTTGTTCTGAAGCCGCAGGTTTGCCGTTGGCTTATTGATTTTCATCGCATTGATGCTCGTGGTTGCAGCCTTAAACAAGGACCATGTTTTGATTCTTTTTGAGAATCTTGACCCAACTTTGTCTCATGTTTGGCAAACTCACAAACTTTTTGTGAGGGAACTAAGACCATCATAAGTCAGAAGGCAGAAGATGTGAACATATTATCCTAATTCTGCGGAGATGGAGGACAGATCATCAGTGATGCGGCGCATCTATGATATGATTGGGGAGAAGGATGCTTGAGAAGTCCAAAGTGGCCTCTGCATCTCCACAAAAGATCGAAAAAAATGGAAAAACCCTTCATGCGGCGCACTTTCTTGCTCACCTTCCCTTACCCTGAGATTACACGACATTACACTGTGTCACAGCATGTCACAACAATTCCGGCATAGCGACGCTTTGTGTCAGTTCATTGGCCTTTGGGCACCGGTCCAAGTTTCACGGTCTGGCAAAAAAGGCCCAAACCTACTCGAAGGGCAGCGGCACAGGGAAAAATGATGCGATTGTAACGGCATTCATTGCCCGTTTGGCAAGTGTGTATGAATTTGTATAGTGGGATCATGTGGGATCCTAATCAGCCAATTATTCAAGAAGCCTGTTGAAAAGTCACCGGACATGGTTGGCTTATTTGATCCTGAAGTTTTGGTCTATTTGTTGTTTCCAGTGTGAACCATAAGGATCCATGAGGTGTCTTTCAAAGCACCATGTTCAAAGAATTTGAACGAAGTGGCTGAACTGGCTGCATATGCCAGATTCCGGGCCAAAGTGCTGTAACTAACTATAAGCTTTTACATATATAATAATTACCCTTAATGGATATGGCAGAATCTGCAATTCTTGGGGGAGATGGGGATCTTAGAGTCTTTCTGGCAGAACACTCAAGGAAGTGCAGCGCATTCGTGATTGACACATATTGACCCTAAATAGACTATTTAAATGCGTGAACCTGAACATCCTGAGCATCCTGAGCCAGATCCTTGCATCAACGTTCGCAGTATTTCGCAGCTTCAAGAGGATTAAGATGATTAAGCAGACCTGGACTTCAAGAAAGCATAAGAAAGCCAACACAACGTCGTGTCATCCGTGTCATGTTTTGTCCGATGAGACCGCATGATCCCACGCAATGTCAAAGACTTATAGTATCTTATAGTATCTTATAGCCACCTATAGTCTCACCTATTGTCTCACTTACGGTCTTATAGTCACTTTTACTAGTAACCGATGGCAGCAGAGTATTACGTCACTGCTTTTCGAGACTTCCAGGACATTGGCTTGGCGGAGGCTGCTGACCAAGTTTTGAAAGAGGGTCTGTGTGCTTTTCCGACACATCATGAATTGCTGTCGCTTGCAAAATCTAGAGGCATTCAGGCTGCACAATCTGCACATGAAGTGAACGATTTCAAGACACAAAGATACACAGGAATCACAGGATCCACAGATGCTGGGAAGCAACTGGACTCTGGTTACATCGCAAGTGCAGATCTCAGCCAGCTCCTTGCTGGCATGATGCAGACACAGGCACCAAGCATCAAGGCTCAACATGTTCGACGCGTTCCTGAACCAGAACGACTTGACGCAACGATCTCAGAATTCTCAGAAGTCATTGCTGGAGATTTCGAAATGGAAGGTGCTGATTTTTGGCATGAACTTCAGAAAATGGATCTAAAGAACATCTTACTCAAGCACGGAGGACTGATCCGAGTGTCAGACATTTTTCCAGGAGACGTCGCACAGCAGGGTTTAGAAATTCTCAAAAAACTGCACAACTCAGATTGGTCTGAGTCAAACTCCGCAGCATATCAAGATGAAGGAGAATTTGGTGACAAGAGTGCCAAGCACAAGTTCTCCCGATATGACGGAGACAGTTTGGACGACATTGTTGGCCGGATTCAATCTATGGCTCCGGATCTCTTCCCAAGTTTTCAGGCAGCCAAGTATGAAAGTGGTGGCAATTTGTCTGCACACGATGATAGTAACTACTTCCTTATTGCAAAGAACGACAAGAACCGAAGTTCGAGATATCCAGCCGGGAGCCTTTTGTTTCGGAAGATTGCCGTGATTTACTACCTTACAAAAGACTGGAAAGAAGATTACGGAGGCTCTTTGATGGATTTGCACAGGAGCAAAGATAGGAATGTCAACTCTTCAGAGGAGAAAGACACAAAAGACACAACTTCAGTTCATCTTGCTCCTCGATTCAATTCAATGGTTGCATTCCTGGTTCCTCGACTTCATCAAGTGCAGGAGTTGGCGGCAGGTGCTCCACCGCGGTTCTCAGTGTTTGGATGGTTCAGTGATGACAGGCCTTATCCTCCTCTAGATGACCTGGCAAAAATGCCTTGGCTGTCCACCTTGGAGGCTTAATTTTTGAAGCTGAAAATCAAACAGGCGCTACGGCGCTACGCGGTGCTACGCAGTACGCACACTTCGGGTGTGCCATGGAAACAGGGATAGATACGGGAAGTAATTTTGACGTGCAATGTACTGTATTTAAGTATGAACCATTTTGATCCATTTTGTGTATGATTATGTACGGATTAACCATATAGGAATAAATAGGATACTCGTATGTATTGTATCAATGTGATGTCAAGTCGCAACAGTGAGGCAGCAAGGTCTGAAAGATTCATGCAAACATGTGCAAACTGCAAATTGCGCAGATCAAGGCAAGCGATTCGTGCTAGGACGTCCTAGGTATGTCTATCTCCCTTTGGCAGAGCTCGAGCCAGTGCATTCTTTTCTCCCATCTCCTACATAGTCAATCATAAGTTTAAAAGAACAAGGAACGCATAGGAAAACGATAAAACAACTCATTTGCGCGCGTAGTAGCTGCACCGCCATTTGGTCAAACGTGAGCTAATACATCCTTCCTTGATCTTCCTTGTGCAAGCTGTGAAGCCATTCATTTTGCAAATAGACAGAGAACACCCAGAACAAACACCATGAACACCATGAAACTGATCATTGAACCAGAACCACATTACACTTTGCGTGTGTATATAATATTATACGTATAATATATGTCAATAATCCCGCCCTGTCGGTACTTGCATTGTGCTGCATGCTATGGGTGCGTGACTTTGCATAGTTTTCTGGCGTTTTCTGAAGCTAGCCCTGCACATCTGCAGCTTTGGCTCTTCGCTCGAGTTATGCTACAACATTTACCTTCATCATTTCTAACGCTGAAACCCTTGGTGGTTTCAATGCTCTTTCAATCTCTGGCAGTTTTCAGTCTGGCAGCAGGGCTTGTCAATGGCCTGGTTGAACAGGAGCGCAGATACGGTGCTTCGAGATTTTCTGGGGTGTTCACATTTAAGTGGTAGGCAGTTTGGCACAGCTGTTCTTTGCTTGAATCTGACTGTAGAGCGGTGCAGCTGGATTGTGCAAAGGGCACTGCCAGACAAAGTGACAATGCATGCAAGATTCACGAAGATTGCAGATCTGGTTTGTATTGTACATATGATTATATTACATAATATACAGATATAGTATACGTACAATATATGTATACATATAATATAATATATATATATATATATGTAGGATGCGATGTATAGGCCATGGAGATACTGATGTGTATACATAGAGGCTTTGATAAAGAGTCTTGCCCAGCAAAGTATTATCAGATCATGAGGACTGTGCTGTCTCCCAGAGTTTGCTCCAGCGCAAGAGCTGGACTGATTTGAAACAGGACCCCTGGCGGCAGAAATGATATGCTGGTGGTCCCATGTAGTGGCATTCATGTTTAACGGGATGTTTAAGGAACCTTTGTTGACCTGGTCAACAATGAAATGGATGTCATGAACCTCATGATATTGGTCGTAGATGCGGACAAGATTGACTAATGCAGGAGTACTCACGCTGTTGTCTAGTAGAAAAACTTAGACAACTCAGCTCATATCAATCTAAGTCCAGTACAACTCAACATTCCTAATCGGGCTGACCCTGGAGGTAATGGCTTATACAGAACAAATTGAGCGCCTCCTGGAAGTGACTGGGTTTCAATCCCTCAACTAATTGATAGTCGTGGTACAAGCCGTTGCAGGGCCAATTTAGGTGCAATCCCTATGAAATCCTATAAACTGAATAAAACTGATACAGAATGAGGTGCTCCTACCCAACATAGGCCAGTGCCATCCAGTGCCTGGGTTTGTCTAAACTCTGTAGGTTTTGAATTTGTTCAACTGCCAGAGATTCAGACTATTTCAATGGCACGATAATCATTTGACATGCGTTGTTTAATCAAGTAAGACCAATAAGACAACCATTGGGATGTCTTGGATAAGAGGGCTTTTGTTGTGGTGAAATGGTGTGGATCCTGCAGCAAGGGCAAGCAAGGCTATGGGAATCGAGGGATTCAGGATGTTTGCTATGGGAATCGAGAGTCTAGAGACCCAAGACAGGTCGTTGATTTTGCAAGTGCAGGACATTTTCAAGAAAGAGGTGGAGCTTGCAGCTGTGTCAGAAGATGTAGCAAAGTGGCTTGCTCGCAGTTGCACACAAAGTTGGCATTGCTGCACACCATGCCACATGCTAAGACAAGGTTTTTCAATCAGCGGCTGGTTAGAGGAGGCTCGGCCACTTTTCCAGGCCCATTGATTTGACAGGTTCATCATGTTTGATCCGTCCACTGGTTCCACTGCTAAGCTTTGGCTAGCTTGGGTGCAACACGCGCAGTGTATCATTTTATACGGGCATGTGACAAAGTCGTTCCTGCATTGGGGAAAAACAACGTTGTTCTGGTGGGGAAAGTGTTGTGGAAAAGTCGTGCCATATGCCATAAACGAAATCGCAGAGGAGCTCTGCTGTCTGGATATGTAACCCTTTTTCTTATGAGATTGTGTGGTTGATCATTATCACCATCAGGTTTTCATGTTTGAGGTATGTTGATTGATTCATACAAGATGGCGTTTAGGTTGTGATTTGGATGTTTGACAGCATTGCTCAGATTATCCTGTTTGGGAATCTCCAGCTTCTTTCATCTTCTTTCTTGCTTGGTACTTGTTTTTGAAGACATTTAGAGACCCGTCCCCACTACGGGTGATTCTCAGGTTGTTGTTGCCGCTCATGCGGATATCTTCGTTTTAGTCTGCACTGTGCAGTGGGTTTGAAGGTTTGTCATGTAAGTGTAGTGGGCGTTTGGCAATGATTGATTGCAGGTCGCATTGGAATGGCCTTTCGAAACCACTAGGCATGACTTAGGCGTTACAAAGACGTTTCCCTATGTTTCCATGCACTTCTTCGCAGAGCTTCAGCGTTCACTAGCACTCTTCGCAAGTAAAAATTCAGGATGTGATTTTTGCTTGTCGAAGTAGCACTCACAGCCGTGCAGTGGAGCTGGTTGCGGAACACAATATCAGGACTGCATAGATTTGTGATAATTCGATATACTTTGTGCATGTTCTTATTTCTTTGGCCGACGGCTGCGTTGTTTGCTCTCCACGATTTCGCTGCTTGTGCTTTGGTGCTTTTCTGAGGCTAGCTCCCAAAGCCCACGATCGTTTTGAATCCTGTGTCCCCATTGACTCTTCATCCAACATGCTGGATGTGACGGTACAACGAACCGATCTCAATCAATCAAGTGGATTGGGTTCTGATGCGATGACATGCAACGATGACACCGACGTTGCCCTCTTTTGGCCGAAGGACTGACTTTTTCTTGCTGTTTGCAGTGTATTGCCACATGTGCCGGACCAAAACCTATGTTGTTTAGCAGTTCCAACACAGGGATGCTACGTACGCCTCTGAAATATAATATAGTCCGCTCACGTTTCTATTTATGGATTTGGATGGATTTGGTATGAGTATGAGTTAAGTGATTTCGCCCTCTGTGCCTCCGTGAGCAAAACATCATTTGACATGGAAATGGAGATTCTTTGCGGTCCCTCAATTGGGATCTACCGAGTACCTGTACATTGTAGCTTCTCCTGCCCATTCCTGGCCCGTCAGGACACTGCACCCTTTTATGAGGTACAGTGTTGCCCTGCGAAGGAGAAGTTCTGCGCTGGATGTGCCAAAATGAATTCAGGCGTTGGATTTGGGGGCAACATGAGCAAAGAGTAAGGTTGGTGAGCTGGCTGACTTAGGCCCCTAAATCAAACTCATGCTAAGCAAGACTCACGGGAGCGCACGTGAGCTTGTTCGGCTGAGATACTGTATCCACTACTAGTACTAGTGAAGCTCACAGGTGGTATAGTCAGTCGAAAAACAAATCATGCGGTAGGGACGGACAAGAAAGAAATAATCACAGTCAGTGCGTTTAATACATTGCATTCTGCCTTCTACCGTTGCATCATCTCATTTCTGATTGATTGCATATGCAGAGGACTGTGTTTGCAACTGTTTGGAGGATCGATCAAATACAAAGGTTCGAACTGTGAGTATTTTTTGGGGAGGTGGGTGGAGGCGGTTTGCAGATCTATGCATAGCCTTCTGCAGAGAAAAAGTGATCCGCGGCCACAGGAAAGACCTCCTGTGAAGTTTGCAGCGGAGGCTATACAAAGACCAGCTCCGGTAGCTGCCTGGCGCAACTTGACCGCAGCTATCAAATTTTGTTTTCAAGTTCAATATCAGGAAATGCAACGTTAGTGACTCTGCAGCTTGCACACTCCAAACGAGATGTCACTATGCAATCGTCAAGCATACCAAGCAGAAGGATTTTGATGGATTTTGTCAATCGAAGTGAATTTCTCATAATTTCTCTATTGGTCCGTGGTTGAAAGTATGAACGCCCTTCCTGTCTCTCAGTGCACCTTGTTTTGCGCCTTGTTTTTTCATTGATGTATTTTGAGGTTTGAGTCTTTCTGGTACAGTAGCTAGCACAGAATATGAATATTTACACTGACCATGGCAATAGGTCAGATGCACATTAATTTTCAAACGACGATCCATTTTCTTGCAACCAACAAGCTACAAGGTGTTGAAAGAAAAGGTAAACATGGTAAACATGGTAAACATCTAGGACGTCAAAGGCATGTAAAGTCTGTGGTGGCTTCAGTTTTGCGCTTAACACTTGTCAGATCTTGTCAGTTTAAAGATGTCACCTGTCAGGTGCGCAGATCTTCCAGGTTGGGAGAACAAGGTGGGGGAGAACTGCTACAAAGCGTCTTGCTCGGATGAGCTGTCCCTTGCTCTGTTGAGCGCAGCACTTGCAGTAGCTCTTACGTATCTGAGGGGTGCTTAGACATCTTTGTTGTATTTTGTTGTAATATGACATATTAAATATGCTCTCCGGGCTACAGTCGGCAGATGTGTACGGATGCATGTTGTCCTTTGATCGGAATTCCTCTAGACAAGGACACTGAGACACATTTTTTTTGTGCCTATTGACGCTTACAACTTTTCAAGCCCACATACAGTAGATGATATTACACATCATATGCACATGTAGCTGCACGTGCCACAGCAGGAGGGGGAAGAATGGTTATTTGCCACATGTTTTACCTACACATCTTTTATCTTACTTCGCTGCAAATTGAGTGCGCGTCGGTGTGCGTTTGCGCCAATCTTGCAAATAGCTACTCAGCCGCTAGATAGCTAAGCGGACTGCCAAACACTGAGGGTAATGGTTTCAAATGTTTCAGGCTTCACATTGACACAAGGTGACTCAGGGCGAGGCAGTCCCCCAGGCATCTGAGGCACAGAATGGCCAAATTACTTTGGACATCTCTGGAGCTGAAAAAAGTTGTAGAATGTTGTAGAACAATGAAGCAAAACGAACTTAGCATATTTCCGAATTGAATTGCTTTTGAAGTACGGATTGCGAACCTGAATGTATTTGGAAAGCCTGTGGCACTGGTTCCAAATGCTGTAGTAGACCTCCAACAGACCCAACCTGATCTTGAAATAGCTGATTGCAAACGATGGCAAGCTATCGGAAGATATTGGGTGGTATGACACTCTGTTTCCAGCCTGAAAAGATGATGCAGCTGAGGAGGTCCAAGATGTCTGCTTAGAGATACGTAGAGACTATTAGAGTGTGTCTCGACTCTGTCAATTTAGCTTATTCTGGTTGACTCTGCTTGCTTTCTCGCTTTTGCTATCCTTTGCTTGACGGGCCGGGTAGCCCAGGTTTCAAGGCTTCTCGGCAAACCAAGCATGTTGCAAGTGTGGAGGCGGACAAGCTACAGCCACCAAGTACCATGGCTGCAATTATTAACAACTGCTTGCACTGCTGGATTTGTACACGTTTGTACCCTCTGCATTTGCATCAAACGAATGTGTGACCTTCTTCAGCTTTGTCCCTCAGAGATTGTAAGTGTAAGTAATTAGTCGCTGTCGCCAGCAGATGCAGACAGTTCAAAGACGGAATCTTGCACCTGTTCATGACATCACTTCAATCTAGCAGCTGGTAGAGTGTGACGCTGGCAGTTCCCTACTTGTAGATATCAAAAGAGAATGGACGAGATTCTTTCTTGTCGGGGGATGGGACAACTGAAGGATTCAAATAGATGACGTTGTATGACGTTGTTTCATGCTTCTTTTGTGCAAAAGCCCCAAGGAATCACGATCGAACATATGATTGGTGGACTTTCAGGATTCCGCCCATGGGCAAAGGGCGTGACCAATGTCCTTCCACACCCTCATGCGCCTCATGCACACATCATGTCTTGTTTTAAAAGAAACACTCCATTTTCCTGCTGCTGAGGTTTGGGTACTATATTGGCCCAATGGCACTTGGTAGCGCTGCGGTTTCGGGCCATCCGGTACCTCGTACAGCTAGCCACTATTCCGTGGACAAGGACGCTAGCGAGAAAAAGCTTTGAGGTCCCAATTCGAATGGGATTGGATTCATTGAGGGCGGGAAATATGATCATAAGGAGTGGAGACATATAAATAGACAATACCATACGAATTTCCAGATTTCTGGAGGGCCTGAAAATGAGTAGATTTCGATAAGGAACCTATGAGCCTATGAGCGAAGCAAGGCCCCAATTTGATTGACGATGAATAACAATGCTCAATGCTCCTACAAAAAGGGACAAGATGGTACAAGTTGAGTTGTGTGCAGAATACGCACGCGTGTTTACATACTAAACTTATCTAAACTTACTAAACCCTGCAGGGCCACTTGGTTTCACAGGAGGGACGCCTGCTGACATTCAGTTTGGAAGACGTTGCAGTGTAAAAGGTGCAAGCGGTGCCTATCACAAGTCAACAGCAGGTGCAAAAAGGATCAAACACGTTGCTAATCCTTTCATATCCTTTCCATTTTCAGGATACAAAGTTTCAGGATTATGTTTAGATGTTTCAAGACTGCACTATCTTTGCCTGGGCCGCACGCCAGTGGCAAAGAACCCCCGATGGCCGTTAACCATGTTTATCCTTTTTTTAATTGTGGATTGTACATCATCAGCAATGGCGAACCGATGTCTGAAATTTATCGCTATGGTTTGTATGGCCTTTGCTAACTTGGGGCATGTAACTATGCACGTGACAGCAGTGAATTGAGATGCTATGAGATTCTAAGGTTGCTAAAGTGTCTCATGTGAAATGTGTAAGACGAAAATGCTTTGTCCAGACAGGACTGTGAGCTCTCGAAGTTTGGCCTCTCAATTGATGCCAGCACTGGAGAACTGAAGTTGGCACCAGGGTGCCCTGAAGTGCCATTTGATCTTTTGTACCATATTTGTATATATACATATATGTATTATGTATATATAACCATATCTCTAAAATTCTTCTTTGTGCGCCAACCATGTACCCTTCCAAAGCTGCAAAAGCCTCACGTAAGTACGATCTTATGTGGCAAATCCCATAATATATTTGTACTTTTGTGGCTCCTTTTGCACTTCCTGATGACCTGCCTGCTCTACTGTAACTGTCGCAGCATGGTATCAGCAACCATCAGAGATCATCAGAGACAGCCCCTGCAGCAGCCACACGCAAAACTAGAACGGCCAAAACATGCTAAAACCAAAAATTTGATGAAGCCTGTTATAACTTGCCTTTTCCAAGTCAAGACCTGGCCGCTTTGCATGGATACAAGAGTGGTTTATCGTCGGCAAAGCTAGCGTGCAGGTGCAGCGCTCTTGGCTGTGGCGCAACTGCAAGAATCGAGGTGACATGTGCCCTTGGCTAGAAAGCATCATTTTCTTATGAGTGTGGTTTGAATTTGGTGTACAGCACGAGAAAGAGCCTTTCAATTTAGTTGGTGCATGTTGGAGCTGTTCTTCCCAGAGCCATGCTGTCCATTTGTGAGGGTTCTTCAATCAATTTTTTTGGACGGGAAGCTCTGATCATTTGTGTACAGGATTATGTATACGAAGTCATGGCTGGTCCAGGGCCATGGGTTTGCTCATCTTCGTGTTTACCTGCATGGGTGAAACTGCAATGCAGTCTGTGACTTGCAAAAAGGAACCTGGAATATGTTTGGGATACAGGGATGCGCCTCTCTCTCTTGAAACATGTTCTCTAAATGGACATGCGCTGGCCCACTCTCTCTCTCTCTCTCCCTCTCTCCCTCCCTCCCTCCCTCCCTCCCTCGCTCGCTCGCTCGCTCGCTCTCTCTCTCTCTCTCTCGCTCTCTCCCTCTCTCCCTCTCTCCCTCTCTCCCTCTCTCGAGTTTAGTCAGGATTGGGCTGGGCCCGGCGAAAGCAGCATTTGTGCAATGTTGCAAAGTTGTAAGACATGGATTTGTGTGGCAGGTGGTGCGTGTAACAGACCCATGCAGGTAGAAAGCCATGTCCCGTGAGTGTACGAATGCAAGATTCCTTGGAGGGGTCAGCCGCAGAGAAAGTTGGCCCCAGATCTTTTCAAGAACAGTTTACTTATTCCCGCGTGGAAAACATCTTTTTTTGATCGTTTTTTTGCCACGATGGGACCGGACAGATTCCGTCCTAGCACGTTGCCGCAATGTATTTATGTTTGTGTTTCCATTCGTATGCGCGTTTGTATTCTTGTTAGCTCGGTGGGTGTGGGGTCAGTTGGGTGGGTGGTCGGTCGGTTGGTTTTTAAGTAGTTGGTTTCTTGCTTGCCTGGGCTTGTTTGTTTGCTTGCAAGGTTGGTTGATTGACTGATGTCTCTGTGTGTGTGGAACATCTGAATAGATGTAAAACCTCCACTTAAGCAGGGGGTGGATGCATGGTCTGGCAGTCATCCACCAACGAAGACACTGCCTTTCCATGGTGATATGACGAAGGGACGCCTTTGTCACGTACCTGCTTCATTTTCGGACATGGGATGTGGCCAACCCAAGAACCACCATGCCGTTTCCAAATAACTTGCTTTCAAATTTCTCGATTTGCACGGTTTTCGCAATCTGTCAACTTATTTCATCTAGCACTGGACATGGCGATGGTACCTTTTCAATTTTTCTCGGGTCTCTTCACCGACCCATTCCTATCAGGTGTAGTTGGGGTGTTTTTGCACGTAAGATGCATTCCACATCAGAATTCGCAAAGATTGTTCTGAGCAAGTGTGTGGTGTTGTTGTTGGTGTTGTTGTTGTTGTTGATGATGATGTTGTTGTTGGTGTTGGTGTTGGTGTTTGCGTGCGTGTATTTGCATGTGTGCGGTGATGTTACTTGATGAAATGTAGAGAAATTCAGTGATGCTTGTAGCATAGCATAGAGTCACATGTACAGGCAGATGTTGAAGTCGGTACCCGTGGTATAAAATACAACTGTTCCCTTGTAAAAAGCATTCAGGTGAAGGCGGTACCTTTTCTGACTTAGCCGTGACCACGGCGTTCCATGCAGGAACACATATTCTAGCACCATCGGTCCCACCTGTAGTTTGATGGCTTGCAAATGTGATCTCTGGATATTGAGGCACCATCACGGCTTGGCAAACGGCTTGGCATGGCAGCAGCCTCTCTGCCTCTGCGCCTCTGACAGTGGCCTGCTGCAGCTTTGAAGCGGATTTCAGCATAATTTCTACATTGCCTCAGCGTTTGCAGAAGAGCAGGTTGAACATTCTAATTATATATGTTACATTTAAATTTAGTTGCTCTAGTTTGCTGCTCGCGACTAGCTCCAGAACGGCTTTGCTGCGCGGCGGTGCGATTGTTAGGTTCAAATCTTCCCAGGATGCATTCGCATTCAGACCATGTAGGTACATTTAGGATCATGTAGGTAAAGTATCAATATATTCAAATATATTCAATATATATACATATATATATATATTGACTTTATTACATAATGCATCGAGAAAAGGCGGGATGTGTCTATAGCCGGCCTTTACCTAGCGATTCCAGGGGCAAATTAGGCAAGGTCGCCCCCAGTTTTCCATGTGTTTAATTGGCTCGTCACGACATCCCTGCGTTCGGCGGTCTAGAGTTGTGTTTTGTGATCTTGTAGTTCTAAAGGTCGTCCTTTCGTTTTTGGATGTTTTTGGTTGATATTTGTATATATTTGTTGAACCTCACGTTTTTGCGTTGTGGGAAACATCACCAGCATTGAACGTCACTGCGCCGCCTCACTCAATAACTCGGGTGGTTTTGAGACGAAACGGGTGTTCATAAAGAAACTAAGGGGCTGTCCGTTTTGCCCAGCAATTGTGGTGGTACTTCGTTGTTTTTTCTGTGGTTGGTGGTGGTGCTGCTGGTGGTACAAAACCAGTACTGGTTCTAGTAGCCTTTGTTGCTGCTGCCGTTCCTGCTAAATACCGTTGCTGTTGTTGAGTTTTTGTCTTGTATTTTTTGTCCTTTGTTGCTCTTGTTTTGGTACTAAAACTGCTGTTGCTGGTGTTGGTGGTGTC